GCCAACCTCCTCATCTCCCCCTCTTAGAACCAAGCACTGAACCTGCAGGGGACAGAGCCTTCTCCATAGCTGCCCCCCCCCCCCAACTCACTCCCTACACACATTCAACACTGCACCGACCCTCCTACTTTCAAATCACTGATCAAAACTCACCTCTTCAAACAAACTTTTAATGTATGATTGTGATGTATTTCCTGTTTTCTGTAGTTTTACCTTTATAGTTGTTGTCTTTATGATTTGTGTGTAATATTACAATGTCTGTTAGTCTGTCTTTACTGTGAGTTTTTGAAAAGCACTTGTAAATAAAATGTATTATTATTCTTATCTTCACACATCAGTCCTCAGAGCTGGATCTCCTCTCTTTCTGGGAACAGAATCTCTTCAGTTTTATGAACGAGGACTTGCACAATAACTCTTTATGTAAAACATGAAGTAGAGATCTCGCAGGGACAAAACACCTGGAGGTTTGGCCTTGACCGCTGCAGGACAGGTGTTTCTTCACGCCTGCTGCAGCCCTCTGACACTTTCCACCCCAGATAATCTCACAGGAGGATATCGAGCGAGGAACCTTTGTCCCAACATGTTCACACAAAGCATCAACACCTCTTCCTGTTTCCACTCTGATGCAATCACACAACAATTCACTGTCCCCCCGTTCACAGAGAACAACATGTTGGCTTGTTTTATATTTAGAGTCAGTTTAATAATCAGGAAACAGATTTTAATTTTAAACCTTCTCTTCCTGTTTTCAGAGCGTGAAGATCCTGACTTACAGAGAGCCTCAGAACAGCGAGTACCGAGAGTTTGTGAGAAGCCTGAAGACGGACGCACACAACATGTTCAACTACACCGTAGAGGACTCACTGGTGAGTGCGTGTGTGTGTGTGTGTGTGTGTGTGTGTGTGTGTGTGTGTGTGTGTGTGTGTGTGTGTGTGTGTGTGTGTGTGTGTGTGTGTGTGTGTGTGTGTGTGTGTGTGTGTGTGTGTGTGTGTGATGTCATACACAACTCATCAACGTTTCACATTCATACAAATCCTTCAAATATCAGTGAATCCCTTCATCAAATTTTACAAAACATCTTGATCCCAAATTTCCAATGTGTTGTTTCTGTGACACAAGAGGAGCAATCATGAGTTGTTTCAACTGGTCTTGACTCCCTAAATGTCTTGGTCTTGGTCTTGTCTCGGTCTCGCCCTGTCTTGGTCTTGGTCTTGGTCTTGTCTCGGTCTCGCCCTGTCTTGGTCTTGGTCTTGTCTCGGTCTCGCCCTGTCTTGGTCTTGGTCTTGTCTCGGTCTCGCCCTGCCTTGGTCTTGGTCTTGGTCTTGTCTCGGTCTCGCCCTGTCTTGGTCTTGGTCTTGACTCCCTAGATGTCTGGGTCTTGTCTTGGTTGGAGCACTCTGGTCTCTGTTGGTGTGGTCTTGACTACAACACTAGAATCAACATTCAGTAACGATCAACATCATAATTTAAAAATCGGAGTTGAAGGCACAAACCACAAACTCCATCGCTTACAGACAGGGACAGATATGAACCAATCAAAAGAGAGGAAATTAGATTATTAAAGTAATGAATGTGACTCCAAAGTATCAACAATGTAAAGATTTTTTTTTAAAAAGACTTCATGCAAATGTTTAACTAGGACCATCAGAGGTGTCAGAGCAGCTCGGAGACAATGTACACTAGAGAAGCTAATTTAGTCTGCTGATGTTATCCTGCACACACACACACACAAACACACGCACACACACAAACACACACACACAGAAAAATCACTGAGCTGACTTCAGATCCCAGTGCTGCTCATGTCTCATATTATCAGCTTAAATAAAGGCCAACATGTTGGATAGAAGTTTCCCCGACTAAGATAAGTTCAACTTTATTGTCCCCAAAGGGAAGCTTGTCTTGGGACTCCGTCGTGCAGTTACAAGAGAATTAAAAAGTACACAAATAGAGATCATACAGAACATGTAACAATTCCACACATATATAAAACCACTTTCCTACAGCGGTGATTTATAGACATATTGCACGGCCCCCTGGCACATCCTACATCACCTCTTCTAAGGATTTACATTTGGGATGCACAATATGACTTTTTGTTGAGCAGATACCGATGTCAAAATCTTCGCTTTAGCCTTTATTGGAGTCTTTCTCCAGATTTCAAATGTGTCTGTGTGTTACCAAGAAAAGCCTCTGCATGTTTCTAATAAGCTCCACGAGCAGAAACGTGCTCAAACTAGGATCAATATTGGAGATGCTTTTGAAAAATGGAGAGAGGTTAGAACACAGAAAGGTTTACAGACCCATGCAGAGCTGGATAAACACTGAAGCTTCAGAGTCCACCACATGGTGACCTGAGTGAGCATCCACTCTAGAGAGGGGGGGGAGACAGCTCTCTATGATGTTTAGAATTTGGACTGCAGTACCAATTTTAACCACTAGGTGTTAGAGTTACGTACTGCTCCTTTAACTCCAAATACATGTTTCCCATTATGTTATTAAAATAGGTTTTAAAGCGTTGTAGTTCTTTGTCTCTGTAAACATTTGACTCTGCGTTCAGTCAGTTTCTCTGAGTTTCACCTCGTGTCTGAAGCTCTCAGCTTCAACCCCGTTTGTTCCTCCTGAAATCGAAATAGTCATAAGAACAAAAACTCACAGACTTGGTCGCTGTAGATTTCATCAAACACATGTAAGGAAAAAGTGTGCGAGATATCACGGACTGTTTTTATTGAAGTAGGTTCACTGACGTCTTCTTCAATTAAACTCACTGATGGAACATGATGTTGTCTCTGCATGCCGTGTTAAAGAAACAGAAAATCTAATTTAGCCAATTTCACAGCATGTTTGACAGAAACCGCACGACGTCAGCGAGGGCGCGGGTGTGTGAAGTGTGTGTGATAATCTGCGAGTTCAATCCAACGTGTCATCATAGACCGAGAGGCGAGGGATTTTAAAGGAACTGATTTCTGGATATAAAAAGGGATCATGACTGTGCCAGATTCACAAAGAAATCTCATCAGTTTTTGTATTTTCTGAGGGACGGCAGGTCTTTCAGTTCAGGGTTAGAAGTGTCAAAGATTTCACCGCATCTTTGTGCCACAGCCTTGAGGTGTGTGTGTTTATGTGTGTGTGTTTGTGTGTGTGTATAAATGTGTCACATGTTTCTAACAGTTTGGATGTTGAAGCCTGAATCAACACACAGAAACATGAGACAGCTGTGAAAATGATGCACAAACCAGCCGTGGAATTTATTTATAAAGAAACAGATGGTGAAAATGTTCACAGCTCACACAAACACATGAAATCACACAATTTTCTTAAGAGATGTTTCTGATTTTAAAGGTGACATATGATGCAAAATCCACTTCTCCATGTTCCTCTAACTCTAACATGTGTCTCTAGTCTGTCTACAAACCCCCCAATGATGAGAAAAGTCTGTCCTCTCCATCTTTTACCTGCTCCACTTTTCAGAAAATGTGTGCTCAAACAGGCCGTTTGGAGATTTTCCCTTCATGACATCACAAAGGGCAGTAGCCCCTCCCCCAGGTGGGTGACACTCCCACAGCTAGGTGTTTGTTCTGCCCTCTGAGTCTGCCTTCTCACTGTAAACAATAGGACATGGAGCGAGAAAGACCGAGTACACCCAAGCCCTTCCAGAGAGGGGGCGTGGTCAGACACAGCTCATTTACATATTTAAAGGTACAGACACAGAAACAGCCTGTTCTGAGCAGGGCTGAAATAGAGGGGTTTATAGACATGATCAAATACAGGATCAGAGTGGATTTAGAACAAGAAACTTCACACACATGTTTTGAGGAGCTCTGAGACTTATTTAAACTGAAGAAGAGGAGGAGGATATGTCACCTTTAAATAAAACACAGATGGTTCACACATATTTGATTAGATTAGATTAGATCTACATAAACAAGCCTGACATTTCTTTAAATTTGCTTACTCACTATCAAGTGTAAAGACAGATGCTTAGATTGCAGACGTTAATTAAAAAATTATTTAGCTGTTAAGGTCAGCACTTGAATTACTAGTCAGGCACATTATGTAGTAGAGATTCTTAATCTAAATGAGGTTTTAATGGTTAATTAAACTTTAAATAAATTAAAAATATTAAGGCTTTTGCACAACTCTCACCAAAACACAGACCTCTGTTTCTCCAAATCCTCAGCCAGACGAGATGTCACCCTCACCGGGGGATGTGCAGCCAGGAGCGGCACTCGAGTTTGAAGGCTGAGTGGTAGGGGGTAGAGAGGTTTTGATGCACCTGATTGGACTGGACATGTTTTTAATCTCAGAGCTAACAGCACCCACTTTACACCCAACGTCCGAAAATGTAAAAAAAAACTTAAATGACAAAAATCTCAAAAACGGTTGGACGGTAACTTTTAATACTTTCAGAGATTTTGAATATTGAACATAAAATAAATAACAGAGTTAGAAGGGTTTTATGGATTTGGGTTTCCAGGGGCTTTATCTGATATCTAAACATTCAGAGATGGTTCTGTTCATCGCTCAGCTACCAGCAGCTGACTCAGAGTCAGGCTGCTCTTTTCCTCGACGCTGTAATCTGCTCAGATGGATCACAGAGCTCCAGTTTGTCCCTTATCAGCCACCATATGTATTATCTGCAAAATGGGCAGCTAATCAGGAGCTTCTGGCTCATCAGCAGCAGACGGACAGCTGAGAGGACGCTAATGTAGTTAACACACACACACACACACACACACACACACACACACACACACACACACCCACACACACACACACAGACACACACACACACACACACACACTCAGAGCTCCACACACACACACACACACTCACACACACTATGATGTAGAAAGATGATACCTCAGTGATCCCTGTGGAGAAACAGGATACATCAGACGACCGTTAGGACACAAACAGACGGCGGTTACTCGACTAATCCTCCAGTTTTAAAATAAAGACGTTCTGCACGGTTCGTGTCTTTGGTTCATCGTGGCTTCAAATCTAAATGTTTTAGATTTACCACTTTATTCCTTTTGATGCTTGAAGCTGGTATCGTTAACACCACTTCCTGTTATAATGTGTTGCTCACAATGAGGGGCTCTGCACACCGCGGCCCCCTCATCAACCAATCAGAGCTCAGCACACAGACAGCTTGATTTCTCTCCTTTCTAGCATAATTTATGAATATCTCCATTATCAGAGCTCCTTGCTGTTTCCTCTCAGCTCCGCGCTGTCAGAGGTTGATTTTAAGCACCACGTTCTGCCCGTCTCATCATAAACTTATTGTAATTTAAACATAACCTCTCTGCACAGGTCACCGGGGCGTATCTGACCTCTTCGAGGCGTTGATAAGAAAGTCGACGGCTCGTGGAAACATCCGCACATTTCTGTAGAATAATTGGATCAGATGCTCTTCGTGGTTTAACCCTTGACATCTGCTAAAATGCTCGAAAAACGTTTCATGAATGTCAGATTTCTAACGACATCATCTCAGGGGGAATTAAAAGGGAAAGTCGATTTGTTTAAGCTATTTAACATATTTTGGGGTTTAAATGACTAAAGGCCTTGACACACCAAGCAGGCGGAGAGGCCGAGGAGACAAATCAGGAGAAACCACACTAATGGGTGAACGCATGGATACTACAGTGGCATGCTCAAGGGGCTTTCCTGAACCTGAGAGGAGAGCTTGAGAGAAATGAAACCTCCCAACAGCCAATCAGAGAGCTCCCTCTCACCGACTGCCAACGCTGATTCAACATGTCGAATCAGCCCAAAAAAAGGCAGAAGGACAGCGTCCAACTGGGGCCAACGGAGGACAATCTCCTTGGTGCGTCAGGGCCCTAACAGGTACAAATCGTTATCAATCAATCAAACTTTATTTATATAGAACCTTTCAGACAAATTAAATTGCAGTTCAAAGTGCTTTACAAGAGTGCAGAAAAAGTAGTTTATAAAATCAATGAGAGACTAATGCACACCAATAAGAATAAAAAAAAGAATATATAAAAATGAAAAAAGAAAATACGACACATAAAAGCAATAACATATTAAAATTAATACATAGGAGAAGAATATTTAAAATTGTAGTTGGATAAAAAAGACAAAACAATAATGATTAAGATTTGAATGTATATAAAGCACTATATAAAAGCCAGACTGAATAAATGAGTTTTAAGACTGCGTTTAAAAATCTCAATATTCTCCTCTCAGACCCTCAGGAAGGTTTGTTCCACAGTGTCGGCGCGTAACAGCTGAAAGCAGCATCGCCAAAGGTTTTTGTCCTGCTCAGTTATGATGGTCCATCACTCGGTCACTCACTGCAACAACAAAAAAATCAAAAAATCAAAAAGATGTTGGTAACATTTTCTGGAACAAATTCAGAACCTCTCATCAATATAGAATTTAAGAAGCACTCTCTTCTATTACTTGGTGTTTTTGCGCTGACTGTGCGCTCTGGAGCGTTTGCATGAAGCGTTTGTGAGCTGAGGATAGAAGTCCTGTCTCCATGACAACAGTCTGTTGACAACGGTCACAGTATGAGCTACACTGCTCCGTTACTTTTTACTTTATGTTTGATATTTGAGATTGTTTATTTCCCGATCAGACACGGAGCGAGGAGGATGAGGGTACAAGACACGACCTGTAGGAGGTTAAACTACAGCGAATATCACACATTTGGAAAAGAGCGCCGGTGACGTCAGCAGCACCTTTCTGAAAAGTTGAAAGAATTTCAATTTGAGCGCTCGGAGCGCCTTTTTCTCAAGGCGGTCGCTTTCTGCTGCTTTCTCTACTCATTGAAAACATTTGAAAAAAGACGCTGCCGCTTAGTAAAAAACGGCAGGTGGACCCGGGGCGTCACACGAGGGACCCGGGCCCGGAACACAAACGTACCGTTCTCTCATTTGTTCTCTTTCATGTTCAAGAGCGACAATAAAACGACTTAAATCCTCGAGGTCTCAAACGGAGAAGCTTTTTGTTGTTGAAGTGTCTTAACGTTCATCCTGCTGTTTGTCTAAACTTTGCCTAAACACCATCATTACCTTCAGCTGTTATCAGAGAGGATTATGGGTAATCAAACATTGATTTAACCCTGAGTGAAGGCGGTGTGGTCATTACACTCTGATTGTTCAGTCTCAGTGAGTCGCATCAATAGGAGACAATCAGAGTTTGATTCAGAGTGTGAGTGGATAGACGCTCGTTACTCTCCCCAGAGCGGGAGAGCGTTCCCATGATGCTCTGCTCTAACAACGCTTTCAAACCGAATCAAAAGACGCCTAAATATCTTAAAGAGAGAGAGACAAAGTGCACAACAAAGTAGGAGGAGTTTCCTTTCAGTTGTTTCCTGTGTTTCTTCCTGCAGATGAACATCATCGCCGGAGGTTTTTACGACGGTTTGATGCTCTACACTCACGCTCTGAACGAAACCATGTCGCTGTCCGGCGGCCGGCCTCCGGGGAAGGTCGTCAACGACAGGATGTGGAATCGAACCTTCCACGGTGAGTGGACGCTGAAACTTTTTCTTTGTCTTGTAAAAAGCTTAGGACGTTTATTTTCACCTTCTCTACATAGAAGGTGAAACATGACTCCTTAGTCCTCGGGGTCGCGTTCACAGTGAGGGTGAGGTTGACGGGCGGGTTGGCTCGGCGTCGGCAGTCATTCGGGCGTTGTACTGAAGCGTTGTGGTGAAGAGGGAGCCTGAAGGCAAAGCTCTCGATTTACCACTCCATCTTTGCTCCAACCCTCAGCTGTGGGTGTTTGAAAGGCTCTCAAGGTTATGATGTCATAGCCCCGCCCCTTCGATGATGTGCAGCTCTACTCACCTCATGTAGTTCAGTTAAGCAGATAGAGTGTGAGAGTTAACTGCTCCTTGTTCACTGCAGTGTATGATTTAGTTGATGTTTGATGTTTAGAAGTTCAGGGTGAACCCAGAGCTCACTGGAGGGATTAAATATCCCGTCTGGCCTGGGAACGCCTCGGGATCCTCCAGGAGGAGCAGGAAATCGTTGCTGAGGAGAGGGAAATCTGGTTTGACTGACTTTGCCTTCTGCCTCAGCGACCGGATCTCGATAAACGAAAGAAAATAGATAGATAGTCCTTCGATTGGCAAACATCTCATGAAGGTTTTTGATAAATTCAAAAAGTTGAACTTCACATGAAAATAGTGTTTTGTCTCTGTTTGGTTGATTTCATATGAAGTGATTTTTTCTGGCTGTTTATGAACTCTGGCAGGTGATTTGTTTAACCATAACTGATGTAAATAACATTGTGTTTCTGGTGGTAGGGTTTTGCTTGTTGTCTGGTTGTTTGTTCATGAAGCCGGGCTGTCAGTCACTTTTACTATTCAAACAGCTGCTTTATGCATCCAGAGCTGCAAACATGGACGTGATAATTAACAGCAGCTGTTTCTCTGGATCTGATTGATTTGTTTGTTGTGAAGCCTCCCCCCCCCCCGAGCACAACGCGTCTCTTTGAATCCTCTCGCTTTCTCTCACGGTTTGATTTATGTTGGAGATGAGAAGCTTCTCTGAAGAGCTTCGAAATGAATCCTCGATGTCGCCCACTCGAGTGAAATGAGGTCTGACCCCGGGGTCAGACTCATGATGACTTGCTGTTCAGGTTATTAAAGGTGAGGACCCCCGCTGCTCTCTGTTTATCCTGCAGCTCCTCGATACCAGAGTCTGAATTCACATTAGATTCTTCTCTGACCGATTCCCGACTTTTTAAACATGGATTTCACTGATTCACTTAGTCAAGGATCACACCTCTAGATCGTTTGCTCTGGTCTGAATCATGGATCAGTTTGTTCCATTGTTGCATAATGACCTCAAGTTAAGTCTTTGTTCACACGGGGACTTTTACAAGAGGACCAAAACGTGTGATGAGAGGAAATGCTCTCTGATTGGTCGGAATTTCTTGTGGTAAAACTCCCAGCTGTAATCAAACACTAGCTGCCTCCTGATTGGCTGAGGCTGCTCCAAAGACTCTTTACAGTTTCTGATTGGACAGACGACGACACGGACTGATGTTTGTCTTTATCACTGAAGGATGTGTTGATGTTCTGGAGTCTCTGAAGACGCTCAAGACGGTTCAGGAGAAGGACCACGTTAATCCTCCTGAACCAGGACCACGTTAATCCTCCTGAACCAGGACCACGTTAATCCTCCTGAACCAGGACCACGTTAATCCTCCTGAACCAGGACCACGTTAATCCTCCTGAACCAGGACCACGTTAACCCTCCTGAACCAGGACCACGTTAATCCTCCTGAACCAGGACCACGTTAATCCTCCTGAACCAGGACCACGTTAATCCTCCTGAACCAGGACCACGTTAATCCTCCTGAACCAGGACCACGCTAATCCTCCTGAACCAGGACCACGTTAATCCTCCTGAACCAGGACCACGCTAATCCTCCTGAACCAGGACCACGTTAACCTCCTGAACCAGGACCACGCTAATCCTCCTGAACCAGGACCACGTTAACCCTCCTGAACCAGGACCACGCTAATCCTCCTGAACCAGGACCACGTTAACCCTCCTGAACCAGGACCACGCTAACCCTCCTGAACCAGGACCACGTTAATCCTCCTGAACCAGGACCACGCTAACCCTCCCGAACCAGGACCACGTTAATCCTCCTGAACCAGGACCACGTTAACCCTCCGAACCAGGACCACGTTAACCTCCGAACCAGGACCACGTTAATCCTCCGAACCAGGACCACGCTAACCTCCTGAACCAGGACCAATTTAACCTCCGAACCAGGACCGTTAATCCTCCTGAACCAGGACCACGTTAACCTCTGAACCAGGACGCAATAATCCTCCTGAACCAGGACGTTAATCTCCTGAACCAGGACCACGCTAACCTCCTGAACAGGACCAATTTAATCCTCCTGAACCAGGACCAATTTAATCCTCCTGAACCAGGACACGCTAACCTCTGAACCAGGACCACGCCTACCTCCTGAACCAGGACACGTTAATCCTCCTGAACCAGGACCACGTTAATCCTCCTGAACCAGGAGCACGCTAACCTCCTGAACCAGGACCGCCTTAACCTCCTGAACCAGGACCACGTTAACCCTCCTGAACCAGGACCAGCTAACCCTCCTGAACCAGGACCGCCTTAACCTCCTGAACCAGGACCACGCTAACCCTCCTGAACCAGGACGGCCTTAATCCTCCTGAACCAGGACCAATTTAATCCTCCTGAACCAGGACCACGCTAACCCTCCTGAACCAGGACCGCCTTAATCCTCCTGAACCAGGACCAATTTAATCCTCCTGAACCAGGACCACGTAATCCTCCTGAACCAGGACCACGTTAATCCTCCTGAACCAGGACACGTAACCTCCTGAACCAGGATCACGTTAACCCTCCTGAACCAGGACCACGTTAATCTCCTGAACCAGGACACGCTAACCCTCCTGAACCAGGTCCGCTTAACCTCCTGAACCAGGACCACGTTAACCTCCTGAACCAGGACCACGCTAACCCTCCTGAACCAGGACCGCCTTAACCTCCTGAACCAGGACCAATTTAACCCTCCTGAACCAGGACCGCCTTAATCCTCCTGAACCAGGACCAATTTAATCCTCCTGAACCAGGACCACGTTAACCCTCCTGAACCAGGACCACGCTAACCCTCCTGAACCAGGACCGCCTTAACCTCCTGAACCAGGACCATTTAACCCTCCTGAACCAGGACCGCCTTAATCCTCCTGAACCAGGACCACGCTAACCCTCCTGAACCAGGACCACGCTAACCCTCCTGAACCAGGACCGCCTTAACCCTCCTGAACCAGGACCACGCTAACCCTCCTGAACCAGGACCGCCTTAACCCTCCTGAACCAGGACCACGTTAACCCTCCTGAACCAGGACCACGCTAACCCTCCTGAACCAGGACCACGCTAACCCTCCTGAACCAGGACCGCCTTAACCCTCCTGAACCAGGACCACGCTAACCCTCCTGAACCAGGACCACGCTAACCCTCCTGAACCAGGACCGCCTTAACCCTCCTGAACCAGGACCACGCTAACCCTCCTGAACCAGGACCGCCTTAACCCTCCTGAACCAGGACCGCCTTAACCCTCCTGAACCAGGACCACGTTAACCCTCCTGAACCAGGACCACGCTAACCCTCCTGAACCAGGACCACGTTAATCCTCCTGAACCAGGACCACGCTAATCCTCCTGAACCAGGACCACGTTAATCCTCCTGAACCAGGACCACGCTAATCCTCCTGAACCAGGACCAATTTAATCCTCCTGAACCAGGACCACGCTAACCCTCCTGAACCAGGACCACGTTAATCCTCCTGAACCAGGACCACGCTAACCCTCCTGAACCAGGACCACGTTAATCCTCCTGAACCAGGACCACGTTAACCCTCCTGAACCAGGACCACGTTAATCCTCCTGAACCAGGACCACGCTAACCCTCCTGAACCAGGACCACGCTAACCCTCCTGAACCAGGACCACATTAACCCTCCTGAACCAGGACCACATTAATCCTCCTGAACCAGGACCACGTTAATCCTCCTGAACCAGGACCACGTTAATCCTCCTGAACCAGGACCACGCTAACCCTCCTGAACCAGGACCACATTAACCCTCCTGAACCAGGACCACATTAATCCTCCTGAACCAGGACCACATTAACCCTCCTGAACCAGGACCACATTAACCCTCCTGAACCAGGACCACATTAATCCTCCTGAACCAGGACCACATTAACCCTCCTGAACCAGGACCACATTAATCCTCCTGAACCAGCTGTGACACCTTCAGAGACCCTCGGACCCTCTGTGAGTCTAACCAGCTGCAGAACTTTTTTTAATTTCCTGCCGAGCTGCTATCACAGGAGAACATACTGTACATTCCTGATGTGTTGCATAGAGAACGGGAGAGAGACGAGCGTGCAGCGGTACAAATATGACGTTTTAGATAAGCTGAGTGAAGAGGGAAACGCAGCACAATGAGACCGACCACGGCCAAAAAAACAGACGGGGGCAATGGAACAAAGACGTTCAAGGTCCTGATTCATCACACATCTCAGAGAAGAAGAAAACATTTCAATCTGTTTTTCAAGTTTTTCAAAAGACGACAGATATTTGATTGATTATTTACAACAACAGTTATTCTTTGATTCCAAACACCTCTTGAGTGGCGTGAGATCAAGGTCGGCACAAACAGTGAAAACGTCTCCGCTGATTAGTTCTCATCAGTCACGACGCAGAGTCTCTGCTGATTACTGATCACTTATCCTCGTTAGACATGACGGCTTCACGTTTTATTTACATAAAGAAGAGAAGAAGAACAAACATATTTAATTCTGCTCCTTCTCCGTTAGTCATGATGGAGAATTATCCAGCTTCCTTATTCATTCTGGGCCTAATCCCCCCTTTAGACGATATTAAAGGGGACATATTATGAATAATCCTCTTCTACAGTGTTTCTGAACATATATCTGTGTAACCTGAGAGTCTA